ATTTGATACTTTTGTAATATTTTACAATTCAGAAATTCATTACGGTCTCCACTTCCTCCTGCCCTGCTGGCTCAGTGCAGCCCTCACAGACAGACTGGGCAGGAAGGGCTGACTCAGAGACTGTCAAAGTTCAGCTCTCCCACCCTTTAATTACCAGGAAGAACTTTACAGCCAAGCTTGCAGGGCTCCAAACTGCATCCCAGAGGTGTTCTGGGGTGCTAACTTTAGGCCTCTTCCTTCAGGAGAGCCTGAGTACAATGTTCCCTGCTGCCAGGGTGGGAACCATCGTGGGCCACAGTTCTGTGGTGCCTGTTGGTGCTCAACACCCTCTGCAGTGCTGTGTGCCTGCCAGGCTGTCCTTACCATGCCTCCCTGCTCCCAGGGACTCCAGGCTGTATGCTCCCAGCAGGATGTTGGCCTGGCGCTGCAGGGGTTTGCCAAAGGGGTGCCCACCCTCAGACACCACGTAGTAGAAGACACAGCCAGCTGAAAAGATGTCCACGGTGTATGTCTGCAAATAAACAACCTTTTACAGCAAGAACATATTTCCCTCTGAAGACTCTGGTCACCAGAGGTGGTGACTCTGCCCCTGAGAGCAGGAGGGAAGTTCCAGAGCTCCCTGCCCTGGGCACCGTGCACTCCTGCCCGGGCCCTGGAGGGGAGGAGCACTCACGGGGTTCTCCTTGCAGTCCTCGCTCAGCATCTCGGGCGCGATCCAGCCCTCGGTGCCCGGCACGCCCGAGCGGCGGCTGAAGCTGTGCCTGCCCACCGCCAGCTTCTTGCACAGCCCGAAGTCAGAAATCATGGCTTTCACCTTCCCGTGGGCATTGGGCATCGAGATGAGGATGTTATGGGGCTTCAGGTCCCTGTGGACTGTTACAAACACTCCTTTAGCCCCACTCGGGCAGTCCCAATGGTATCTGTAAACATTTCAATGAACCTTTCAAGGCTGAACCACCAAAACTTGTCCAACTTCAAGTGATTGTCTCTGACAGAGGCTCATTGCTTTTTTTATTCCATCACCACTCATGTCCCCATGTTTTATATGATTTATATCTACAAAATGCAGCACTGAGGACCAGCTGTAGTATTCCAGGGCAGCAGAACGTCGCAGGGCCCAGGACCAACACTACTGCTGCCAGCACTAGGTGGAGCCCCCACAGCTCTCCTGTGGGACTGGACAAACAAGCTCCCAGCACCAGGCCAGTTTCTTTTCTTTTTCCAGTTAAAACATATCCCTCTGCAGCAGTCCCAAAACGAGAGACATCCTTACCAATGCTCAGGGAGTGCAGGTAGGCCAGCCCAGACGTTGTCTGCTGCAGGAGAGTGATGGGCTGCAGGCCGTGGTGGCTGAAGGCTTTCTGCTCAACATACTGCAACAAACCACCAGAGTCAGACACAAGATCGTTAAGGGCAAATACACAGTAACTCTATGCACTTCACCCCCCAAAAAAGGGTTTGACTGGTTAAATTGTGCTACTCCATAACACATAAATGTGCCTTTTTTGGAGGCCGAAGGTGATGATCTCCGAAGTCTCGTTCAGAGCAAGAACTCTGTATAACACTATGCTCCAGAAACAAGAGCAGAGGGGCTTCAAAGCCCACGTGTTAGGAGGGGAAGGATGACTACAAGAGAGAAGGACAACAGCTTCTGTCCTTAAATCAATGCAGATCTGATTACAGGATTCCCAGTCCCTGTTACAGGAATGGGAAGCCATCACAGAGGGGCTGGTGGGAGTAACTGGACCATCTCCTGTGTCAGGCTGACACTAGAGGGAAGGCTGTGTGTGTTTGCCCGTGGGCAGTCACCTCCTGTAAGGTGGCAGCACACAGCTCGATGGCAATGTACTGGAACTGCCTGTCCTTCTCCGTGCAGAAGTAGCGGATCACGTTGGGATGCTCGTCCGACTCGCGCAGCAGCTGCACCTCTCGGTCTGCGAAGCTGAAGCACTCGGGAAGAATTCTCTTCACTGCCACATCGCGGTTATCAAACGTCCCCCTACGGCCAGGGAGGGAAAGCACAGCCTTCACCCTCTGGAGACAGTGTGGACACAGCAAGTGACAACACAAGGCACCGTACAAAGGCCTGTGACAGAATTTCCCCTGCTGGAAACAGGTATGTTTAGTCATCAGAGAAGTAGGGTTTTTTTCTAGTGAAGAAAACAACTGAAAATGTTCCAGACATATTCAAAAACTTTCTTTTCTGCTAATGTTAGATATGTGAGGGATTTTATAAAAAAAAAACAGATGACAAGAACCTCAAGCAAATACAACATTCATTGGCCTATGTCATGCACACATTCTCTTGTACCTGTAAACAATTGTCCCTTCGGCTCCATGTCCCAGCACATCCTTAGGGTTAAAGGAAATCTTGCCAACCATCACTCGGTTTGCATCTTCATCTGAATAGGAGAAGAGAAACAAGGGCTGGTTTAGGGTGGGTCAGGGCAGCCTTTGGGCACAGTCTGCAAAGTCTCTTTGTTCATGTTTAAACCAACACACAGAGGATCAGAAGAAATTAGTGTCTCCACGTTGGTACTCACCCTGAGGAGGTGACCAAATGCACCAACACAGAGTCAAAACACATTTATACACAACACCTGACATCAGGTCTGGAAAGATCATGGCTCAAGACGTGTGAGAGGTGAGTTGGGCTCAGCAGCCAAACTTCTAAGAGTTTACAGATGTTGAATTTAGGAAGTGCTGACTGACAGTTGTGGGGGGGAGTTTATTCCCTGAATAGCCTTCGAAGGGACTAACGAGCGCACAGGGAGCCCAGGGAGGAAGGCTGTGCTGTGTAATCCTTATTTCTGGATTCCAGTTAATCATCATAAACACGTGTTGTTATTTAGATGAGCCTCTCCCTAGAATGAGTTACAGGCACAGCCCCTTCAGTACAGCCAACCATCCTGCTGGAGCTGAACAGGGATGATGGTTCCTTCAGCTTGCTGAGCTGTGAAGTACCACCAAAACCTCCTGCAGTCTGGGGAAACAGCCAATGAACCACACCAGGTGAGTTTACCTCCCTCCTCCTGCTCTGTGGAGGGGCAGCTGCCCACGTCGGACACGCTGGAGTAGGCAGAGTGGTTGGAGGCTCGTGGGGACAGGTTGGGAGTGCTGGTGGCCGAGCTCTCCGTCCGCCCGTACGACACGTCCAGGAAATCCTCAGGGGGCAGCTCACTGGGGGCACCAAAGGGCAACTTCTGCTGCTGCAGGAGCTGTATCTTCTCTTCCAGCTGGTGCTGCCTCTGCTGCTGCTGGTGGACACTCTGTGAGAAAGGACTGTCAGGTCACACAAGGGAACTCTATAGCTATGGGGGAGCTACAGCTGAAAGGTGGGACCAAAGCTCTCCTGCCATGAACAGCCACACAGCATGGGGAATGTTCATTCATCCTGAACTTCCACTGCCAAGCTGAGAAACCACATGGGTTGGTTCATATGGCCAAGGCTGTTACTAGGCTGACCAGGATAAAGGCTTTGATCCAAAACCTGACAGTGGTTCAGGTGAGGAAGAGAGGAGTGAGACCAATGGTATTAAGATCATGTTCAGAAAGAGTAACACCTAAAAAAACCAGAACTGGTGGGTGGGAAAAAACAGTTCTCCAGAGTTGACACATAGGTGCAGAGAAATCACTGTTATGTCAAACTTGTGCCTTAGCTCCCACTGTACATCTGGGAGGGGAAAACCTGTAGTGTGTGACTAACTCCTGCATCATTTCTTGGGCTGTGCAACGCTACTGACTCTCCCAACACCCCAAAGCACTTCAAGCAAAGTCAGCATTACCATGGGGTAGGTGATGATAAAAGCCACCCAGCCCACGAGCAGGAAAGTGCTGAGGATGATGGTGGCCATGTCCTTCAGCATGGAGTCCACCGGCGCCTCCGGCCGCGCCACGGGCCGCGCAGGACTCTCCTCAATGTCCTTCGGAGCAGCACGGGGCACTTCTGCTGAGGAACCTCCAACGATGCCAATGACCTGAGGCACAGAAAGTTCTGGTAGCTCAGTATCTCTGTGGGCAATGAGATGTTTATAGCCAGCTGTTCTGCTACATCATTTGCAGTCATTGCCAAACCTACCAAAGGCAAAGTTTTGCACATGGGTTTTAAAAAAAAAAAAAAAAAAAAGGCAGGTCAAAGCCTTAATTCTGAAATAAGGAAATGACACATCATCACACAAGTAATTCTGTGTGCTAAGTACATGAAAAGCTGACACAGAAAATATGAAGTGATGCCATGCACCTTTCCCTCTGCATCCTTCCCCCACTCATACACCTTTATGTTCTCCTATCAGGCAGTAAGGTAACTGTTCTCATCACAAACCTCTTCAATAGTGGCTTTGTCAGAGTCAGCTGGAATCACATTTTCAGGCCTTTTTGGTAAGTTGCTTGGGAATTTCTCCAGGATCTTTGTGGGGGCAGATAATGGTGTCTCATGGTGCCCTTTAAATGAAACAAAATGATATAAAAACTTGTCCTTTTTTTAAAAAAGATCTCGTTGATTTCAGCATCTTTGCTGTAGAGCTCATACCAAGCTGATTTGCAAAAGGCTTGAGAACATCACAAACATGAGGCCATAACTGTAAATGCCCTGAAAAGTCAATTCCAAAATTCAGGGACCTGGGATGCCCAGGACAGGGTGACACTCAGACTCTGCTTAAATCCATTTATCAGATGGGGCAAACATGACCCTCTGATCCATACGATGAGAATCAGGGTCACAACATGCACAATAAAAAATCCAACAGGAGCCCAATGCAGTATTTACAGCAAACAACAGTCACCCGTTCCCTTCTGAGAGAGATAAACAACAAACAGGTTTCCACACACAGAGCTGAGCACTCTGCACAACACTGCACACCATCACTGCACAACAGAGACCTTGGCAGAGCCAATGTGGAGCTGGTACTAAACACACATGCACATGCAAATTCATCCTCATGAATTAGAAACTATTGCTGGAACTCAGTAGTGGTGCCCAGGCCCTCCCACCTATGAGCAGCCAGTCGTTCCAGTAGTTGAGCTTGTGCTTTTCCTTCAGCCTGCCCGAGAGCTTCACGTCTGTGCTGGGGGTGATAACGCACTCGCCGCTGTCCTCGATGGTCACTCCCTCTGTCTTTGGGCCCTCCAGTAAGGGCATGGCACTGCCCCGGGGCTACAGGGAGACACGTGTTACAGACATTGCTACTCTGACCTCGGAATGTTTCAGCAGGCATTTAAATAAAAGAAGGAAGGTCAGAACGGGTGGGCAGGAGAGGATTACTGGCAGCAAAGTCAAAGCAAACATGGCCAATATGCCCTCAGCTTCCACAGCCTTGGACATTGGACCTCCTCAGGGACATGTTGCCTGGGAGATGAGATTGTTCCCTTTTTTAAAAAAAGTTAAACAGGATCTCTATTTCCTACCTGGGCAGCCACAGTGAGCAAAACAAACCTGTGATGCAGTTTCCTGTCTGCATGGAGTCACTTTGATGAACAAACCAGCAATTTGAGCAAGAACCACAAAGCACCCACAGTAAGCTCAGGCCCAC